TTTATTTATCGTTATTTAACCTGGCAAATTCCATTGATATCGTAGATCTCTTTTTTAAGGGTGGCCTAGGCCTGAAGGTAACCTGTTGTACATGTTTTTGTGCTGTGGGGGAAGCTGGAGTACCAGGTGAAACGCAAGCACCAGGAGAACATGCAAACTCCACACAGAAAGACCCCAGGTCCGAACCGGGGATCAAACCCAGGACCTTCTCGCTGTGAGGAGTCGGTGCTAACCACTGAGCCATCATGCTGCATTGTATGAAAAGGTGTATTCTTTTCCACTTTAAATAGGGACATAGCATTAATTTCCTGTGACTTTACAGTACTTGAAAAATAACCATAGCTTTGAAAATGAATGACAACAATACTTCACTTTGTGTAGTCATCTTCAATAACCATTCTGTAAGCTCACAGAACATCACAGTTCTAAGTGAAGGAAAAAAACRAATAAACATTTAGTGCAGTTCTTGTGTATGTTAAGATTTAAGTCATCACGTTTTGTCACTGCGACATGAGTTATCAAACCTGTTTTAAACAGCTGACACTTTTGGGAAAGAACCTGCAGCTTACTTAAATGTTTCTGATAAACGTCCAGGTTGTAGGAAGTACTGTAGATAGAYGACATTCTGTAAGCTATTCTACATTCATGATCAACATCCATGAAAAACCTTTAGGCTTCAGTTCTTCCGTGTCTTTAGAATAAGATTCTGTGGAGAAGTGATGGAGTTGCACCTGTTTTTTCAAACCTTGTAAAAGATGTTGAGCAAAATCTCCGATCTCGCTTGATCTGTTGGTGCATCTGAAGTGGGTATGCCAAACGTGGCCTGCGGCTGACTCCCATTTGGCCCACCAAGGGAACTAAGTGACAACATTCTGCACACAGTAAATACTATCTCATTTTGCCTCTGAAGAATGTTTCATGTCAACTGGATTATATTAGTGCTTTAGAATTAGCTTTTGCTAAATTTTTCATTGCGTTAGTGCTTTAGAATTAGGGGACCTAAATATATGTGCTTTAGGGTTAGTTCAACTAATATTTAGATTAGTTCTGCCCACCACTGTCTGTTGTTTTGGAGGTCAGTTGGCTGTTGGCTGTGGTACATGTTGACACGTTTTCTCCAAGAGTGATTACTTTCTGCAAGTTTTATTCAAACTTGTCCTGTGAAATATGAGATATTTTGACAACAGACACACACACACACACACACACACACACACAAACATATTATTGTCTGCCTTTGGCTGTTGTTGGTGGGTAGCTAATATTGTATCACCTCCCTAAAAACAGGAAACGTCTAACATTTTAAAACTATTTATTTAAAATGGTTCTCCAGCTCATGATRTGTCAAAGTTGATGTTATGAAAACAATCTTTCCATCTTTCTAAAGAGTCAGTGGAAAAATCCTTTTGTTTTTTTCCTGTTTTTACTCTAAAAGATTTTTGCTGATGTCACCATCAACACAGAGTCAGTTTCTCCACAACAGCTGAGTAGTTTCTTGTCTTTTCTCAGCTGCATGATCTGTCTTCTGTCCCACACCTTCTTCACACAATCCTTCATCCTGACCAAAACAAACATCAAAAGAAAAAACGTTTCATAGAATGAGAATAAATGAGAGAACGTAACATGTTAATGTTTTTTTAGAGTTCCACGCCTGCATGTTGTTTAGCAAACTCAGAGAAACTGAAACTAGATGTAATCGCTAAAGAGGAAATTAACCAGTCTGACATACTAAAACCAGTTTGTTTGTGAGGTTAAGCAATTACCCTGAACTAACAATATAATTGTTTTTTCTGTTCATGAATGCTAGCCAACTATAAGAATCACAAGAGGAAATCTAAAAAAGGCAAACCATTAGCCAAAAGCTAAAAAAAAAAAGAAATTTAAAAGACAAAAGAAGGAAAAACAAGAACCAAAAGCTAAAAGTAGCAAAATCTTTGCTAAAACCTAAATGTAGCAAAAGGCTAGCTAAAGGTTAAAAGTAACAAAACTGTTGCTAAAAGCTAAAAGTAGCAACATGCTAAATAAAAGCAGCAAAGCTCAAATCTAAAAGTTGCTATGTTAAATCAACAAGAAATTAGCAAAAACTAAAAAGGCTGGCTAATAATTAAAAGAAACAAAACAGTAGCTAAAAGCTAAATGTAGCAAAAGGCTAAAAATCACCTAAGAAGACAGATACAAAGCAAGGATGCTGAAACAGATTTTGAAGAGAAGAAAATTTTTGAGACCTAAATGTGTTTGGAAATGCTTGCAAATTACAGTAAATGTCTGGGAAAATTCTAAAAGTTACAAAAAGCAAAGATGACTGCAGCCATCTCATTAATGACCTACCTTATGTTTTTGACATATATATATATANATATATATATATAACATTTGATATATATATAAATAACTAAATTAACACAAAATATGCAGAAAATATTTGCACAAACTGCACAGAGTAATAAAATACATGAAAACAGTAGTGAGCGTTAAAACCATCAAAGGTACTCTTTACACGTAGTGCATTCTCACCATAAAGTTCATTAATATTCTGATTACTCATCTCTCAGCTATAAATAACTTGTTCTGCATGGGTAATTATTCACTGTCAGAGGGAGTCATCATAGCAGGAGCTGAATAAAGAAACATTTGAGGAAATAAAAGCTTCTTTTATGTCCAAAATGTAACAGCACACCAACTTTTACCCTCACATAAAAGAGCTGTAGTCTCRCTTCAGTGTTTGCCCACATCAGCCCAGGAGGGATTACTCTCTCGTTTGTTCCCAGCAACACTGCACCAATGTAAAGTAGCCCCCAAAATCTTGGCCAGGGGCCCGTCTGAATTTTAAGTGGCCAGTTAGCACACTTGTGTGTCCCTGAACATCTCCTTCTTTTTGCCCCTCTTTTGACTGCGTTACTTTTTGGGAGGCTTGTTTCGGAGAACATATGCACATTAAGCGACTCCTTTCACTCCTCAGTGAGGCCCAGGAACAATATTTCCTACTTCCCAACCCACCCACTGTCACCTCGGGGCACTATATAAGACAGCAGATGGACCTGATGATAAGAGCCTGATCTGAAGACAAGCCTGGCCATGCAGTGTAAAGTCCTCGTCTGTGTTGTGCTCCTGGCTCTCGTAAAGCATGGTGAGTATTGGGTTGTTATTGCGCTGACAGRCTGCTCACGAATGCCACGTGAATATTTTCGCACTTAATCACCAGATTTGAGCTGAAATATGCAAGACTTTACTGAGGATAACAGGGCAGCTGAGGGTCCAACAGTGAGCTCTTAGTTTGTGTAGACCTTGCACCTGATCTGAGTCAGAGTTCAGGCCAGGTCCAGACAGACTCGCGTAAAAATGTGTAACGAGGGGAAATTTTATTGTTTCTTTGTTTGGTGGCTCATAACAAAGATAGGCAAGTGGTTTTCAAACTGGTCTTGATGACCCTTCTGTCTTGTTTTGTTTTTGTTCAAAATCATTAACATTTATGATGTACATATAACCATAAAGTCTGCAACATATCAAACTTTAAAAGAAGAAAGTAATTGGTAATAACAGGTTTGTGTAGTTTGCTTCTGAGAAGGYAGAATTTTCTGAAATCTCGTAAAGTAGTGCTGATGAATGATTCTGCGAGCTTTCGGAAGGCCTTTCAAATATTRTCTTCACACAAGTTTTTTACAAAAGCTTCTCCTCTCATTTATGCTCCTTGCAGAGGACCATGACTGCATTTTGTGCAGATGAGCAATAGCTGAAGGTCATGTCTTCAGAAAATAAAGGGAAGAAAAAATCCTGACACAGGACCTGTGAGATGCATCATCCTTCCTTTATCTGTTGTTTTATTTTTAGTCAACGCCTTCTGTTGGTGCTAAATAGCATATTTTTAGTGTTTCCCAAAGATTCGGGTAAATAAATTAAAACATCTTGTGTCTTTGAGATTATTGCTGAGGCTAATAAAGTGTCTTTAGATCCAGTTTACATTTGGTTCTGATTTGATCTCAAGAAGCCAAATGTTTTCATCTGTTTTGGTCTGTTAAAAAATGCACAACTTTGGCAATAATTAATGCAGTTTAACTACTTCATTAAATGGTAACTTTGGCATGTTCTATTCAGCATTTTGGAATAATTATAGAAAAACAAGCTGAACTTATGGAAATGATGTGTGGCCATTATTTATTATTATATATTATTATCATAATAATAATAATAATAATTATATTATTATATTAACCACTTATAACTTGTAAACCTCATGTACATTATATATAATTATAACTTTGTAGAACAGTTATTTGAACTAAACAATAATGAAAATGTATTTTAAAAAATAAATTAAATTGTTTCTTTGCTAAGTTGTTTGTCACAAGTCGGCACAAAGGCTTCATTCACACTACAGTCCACCAGCGGTCCAGATCTGATTGAACTTTTTTTTTCCAAATGTAACCCATATCTGACATTTTATGACAGACTGAATGTAACCGATTTTTTTAAACTCCATACAGGTCAGTTCATCATGTTTGTACTTCAGTTTATTTGTTATTTCAGTTGCTTAAGTCCCAAAAGTGCAGTGATTCACAAATCAGACCAAAGTGACTTCTAAATACCTTTAAAAATGATCAGACACTGCATATTACGTTTAAAAAATTGACCAAAGTTCAAAGAAAATCTTTGACAAGCCATCAGAAAGCCTGGATAATGACTGATCAAGCCTACAGATCAAGCCTACATTAAAAGCTTAAAGCTTTTTAAAGCTCCGATTGTTTGGAAACGAATTCATGAAGGAATGCGGAATGACTCAGAGCTTCAAATTACTTTAACATTCAGTACATAATGTATTATGAAACTCATCGTGTAAGGAGTGACCTCTTTCTTGATGTAACTAAAATACAACAATCAGCATCAGAAGCAGGAAAAAAGTGACTTTAATTTTATTCCAAACAGAAATAATTCACATGGCAGTCTAACCTTCTGAGCTAAATAAAAAGATTTAAGGAACTTAAATCAGTACAAAGGTTGACGTTTGTAGAAGAAATTGAGAAAAATAACTTCCTCATTATAATTAGGGTTGAACAAGTTTAAACTAATTTTAGTTTGAAAAGAAAAGCTTGCTAAAAGCATTGTTTGTCACAGTGACTCATCTAGTCCACAGAACCAAAGGCAGCACTATGTTCTCTGTTGCTCAACAATAAATACACACAAGTATTTATTACCCTGGTTACTAATTAAGCTCATTRAAAACACACTTAACTGAACAGCTTTTTATTATTGACAATGACTCATTTATTTACATCAAATATGAAAAGAACTCGGGCGGCTCAGTTGGTAGAGCTGATGCAAAAAGGTCACCGGTTCAAATCCCGGCCCGGGGACCTTTCTGGGTAGAGTTTGCATGTTCTCTCCGTGCATGCGTGGGTTCTCTCTGGGTACTCCGGCTTCCTCACACAGACCAAAAACATGACTGTTAGGTTAATTGATAACTCTAAATTGTCCCTAGGTGTGAGTGAGAGAGTGAATTGTTGTTTGTCTTGTTTGTCATAATGTGTGTCCCTGTGATGGACTTGCGACCTGTCCAGGGTGTACCCCGCCCCTCGCACTGTGACTGCTGGATATGGGCACCAGTGACCCACGCAACCCTGAAAGGAAGAAGCGTGTACAGAAAATGGATGGATGGATGTAACGAACTCAACTAAAACCCTCAGCTCGGGGTGCTTTGTCAATTTAAATTGAATAAACGTTATTTTTCCTGCCTTAGACAGATGTTTGCTTTGCTTGGCCTATATTAAAATACTGACCTAGTCAGAAAAGTATGGCAGTTTTTTTCCACATTATTCTAATCTTGTTCAAATGAACATAAAATTGTCTTTTGAAACATGAGGCAGCATCAAAAGCATTTGAGGTTCATTGATAGTGATGGGAATCGAAAACCAGTTCTTAGTAGTTCATTTCCTTGGAATTGTTAGTCTGCTCGCCTAACGATTCTGCTTATTGGTTCCACTGAATCATGAGGATGTTCGTGCATGATGGCAACACGCTCTGTATTTAATATCCAAGGAAATAGTTGTCTAGTGCATGAATATATTTCACCAAAAAAGACAAAACTAGGGCCAGTTGCAAAAACATKCAAAGCTTCAATCACAACAAGGGGCAGAAATACTTCCAAGCAACATTTTGTTTATTCTTTTTTTATTTATACTAGTTGTCATTTTTTCTGATTAAATGACTGATTAAAGACTTCATGCACACAATGTTCTACTTTTTATTGCTGAACCCGATGTAAATTGATAACATAACTGATAACGAATTAAATCGTAAAACAATATTGATAATGGAATTGGAATTGCAAAATTCGAATCAATTCCCATCCATGTTCATGGTTAGAAAAAGATTAGAAAAAGGGAATGATAATGTAGCAACACATTTCCTCTTTTTAGAACCTCTTAACAATCCCTGTTCCACCGGTAGGCAAAAACAGTGTGGTTTTTGTCTAAACATTTCTTTTTCTTTGCTTTTTTTTTAAACCAGGGTGTCAGATGACTTCCTCCGGTTTACCTTTAGCTTGACACACTTATAAAAAAAACTGTGAAAAGGGTTTTGAGGAATTTCAGGGTCGACTGTAAGATGAAATGGTTTAAAATCTAACATCATTTAAATTATCTGCCTCTGTGTTTCTGTTACTCAGAATGTGACGAGAAAAAGTTGTTGTTTTTTTCAGTCCAATTTAGAAAAGTGGAGCATTAAATTATTTCGTGCTTCACAGTGTCTTCAAGCGAAATCCACGCCAGCCCAAATGCAAACACAACCCTCCCCTGCAACGTCTCCCTACAAGGAGGCAACCCAGAGGTGTCTCTGATGAACATCAGCTGGACAAGAGATGGCTCTGAAGTCGCTTCRTTCAGAGAAGCAACTGCACAAATAAAGGATGGCTTCAGCTGGAATCCGGCTGATTTCATCGATGGGGACTTTTCACTCACCATCCTCAAAGCCAGCCTCGGCCTGCAGGGGCTGTACGAGTGCAAAGTTATCTACAACTCCTCCACTCCACACTCCAGCAACGTCACATTTACTATTCTTGGTATGTTTATGCTTGTCTTGTGACTTATTCTGCAGTTTTTATTGCTAAATTAAAGCTAAAGCAAACTCCAAAGCTGAAGTCTTTTCTTATTTTTGCTTGTACATATTTCTCACATTTTAGCTTCTGTTCTTTGGCTACCCATAACATTCAGAGTGGAATTTAAAATCTTTCTTCTAACATGCAAAACTCTCAACAACCAAGCTCCAGCTATTATCAAAGATCCTATTTTTTCATATTTTCTTAACACAATACTTGGTTCTCAGACTGCAGGTTTACTTGTGGTTTCAGGATCCTCTCTTGTGGAATCAACTTCCACTTCCTGTGTGGAAATTATATAAGAGTTTGTCTCTTGAGACTTTTCTTGAAACTACAACTGGACTGGCCACTGTGTGTTTTTCTGTGTCTCTTTCCTGACCTCACAAAGCCCATTCTGAGCCTGGTTGTGCTGGTAGTTTCTTCCTGTTAAAAGAGAGTCTTTTTTCCCACTGTTGCCATTTTGGTGCTCAGAATGTGGGCTGCAACAAGGTGAACATTTGACTCAATCTGCTGGCTTAGTTAAAAATCCTAGGGATGCACTGATTACAGCTTTCTGGTCGATCACCAATATTGATTTTTCCAATAACTTGAAGGAAATTTTGTAACTGATTAATTGAATATTAGATGCAGTTTTGTATTTTATACTTTCAGCCTTTAAGTTTAAACAGAATGAGGGTTGGTGAGTGTCTTATTATGTGTTAAAGTTTTTAAGTTTTTAAGAAGAATCCAGTGGATTTCTGTTTTATTCTGGTATACCATTTTGAACAACGCTTATTTTTCTACAAACTGACACAGTCAGGTGTTATAAAGTCACTGTTAGAGCCATAAATAAGGATTTATGAGTAATATTTGTATTAAGACTTTTTGTCTTAAAATTTTGCTGTGGGCATATGTTAGGTAAACAAGAGCTTACGTTGACATTACTGAGAAATTCAGATTTTATTTTGAAAACGTTACTTCTTGTTTAGCCTGGATATAAAAAAAGAGACTGAGAAAGATTACAGAAGCATGGCTTGGTACAGGTTTTTGACCGTGCTAGCCGTGTATGCTGGAAATAATATGAAAAAGAGGTAGAAAATGGATCTTTATTTTCATTTTTGTAATTTTTCTTTTTTTATTTTCAGATAAAGGATTTTGTTAAATTTTACATGGTCGGGAACGCCTCCACTACTTTTCCAAGAGTGCTTCAAGAATGACAAAGATAATGGAACTGGTGCCATAATAGTCACAACACACCTACAATGTTCCAATCTTGATTTGTTAAAAAATACTGAACCCTTGAATCAAAACAAACTTGTTTTAACTGGACATTAGGTAGTGCTCACAGCAGAGCAAAATCAGGACAGTGGCTGATTTTCAGATCTTTGTGGTGGTAGAAGAGAAGTCGATCTTTTCCACCGATCTTAGTATCGGACGATCTCCCGAAATTAAGGAAATCGGTGCATCCCTAAAAACAACTATTTTTATCAATCRGCATTTCTTAATATATTGCATATTTGTTTATTACAAAGATTCAATTTGAATTTAAATCTCTCTTCAGCCCCTCCTTCTCTCTCACTGCCTCGGCGGTGGGTGGTGTTCGAAAGAGAGACCCAGCTCGAGTGCCATGCCAGTGGTTTCTACCCTCCTCCTGTCCTTTTTACCTGGACCAGAGAGGGACAAGTCATCCAGCCTCCCCRTGAGGTGGAAGGTGAGCTGATTCCAGATGGGTACTACACAGCTGTGAGCAACCTCACCTTCTACGCTTCCAGAGAGGACAAGAATGTGACCTTTAGCTGCAAAGTGTCCCATGAAGGAAGCAATAAAGAGCTGGATTTTCAGCTCAACATCATTTGTGAGTGACATAAAACCATTCTGGTCATTTGCTCATTAAAGACTGATCACTTCTATACAGTATGTATTTTTGTTCACAGATCTTCCAACCATCAGGCTTTCTGTTGTACCATCACCCTCCAAAAACGTTCCTCTCACTTTGTTCTGTGATGTGGAGAGTTTCTACCCAGAGGAAATGTCTGTGTCCTGGTTTCAAAATGGCACAGCACTCACCGAGCCCCCACTTACTCATCAGAACCCAGATCAGACCTTCAGGACCAGACGCTATTTTACTCTGAGCCCAGAGCAAAGGCAGAGACGGGGCAAGATTGAGTGTGCAGTTAACCAACCTGGAGTTATGAGCCCTGTCGGTGTGTCAGCCGACCTGGACAAACTGGATCCTCAAGGTGTGAAGTATTATCATTTCTTTGGATTTCCATACATGTTTGTGTRAATTTAACTACATTTGTTTTGCAAATACTTCTCTAGTCAAGCATCAACTTTTCTACAAGCATATAAAATTTAGATCATTTTAAACCTTGTTGGCAATTTAAAGGAAGAAAGCTGCAATTGTGTTAGAATCAATTGTGCTTTTGTCAAGTCATTCAAAACATGTTCATCTTGTTCTGTGTGTTTTGGCACTGAGCTCTCTCATTTACTCACTAGAACTGATTGAGTTCTTTCTCTTYCTGTTCCCTGTTAGATGAGGCTCCTGTATTAACTAAGTCAGCCAAAGCATCTGTGGCCATGATGTGTATATCCATAGTGCTGGTTTTCCTGCTTTGCTTCGGCTTTTCCTGGAGGAGAAGAGAAGGTGAGTCAGAAACCTGTCGTTTGACATGGGAAAAACAAAGCAAACCACATTAAGTTTATAGGGTCATAAATCTGCTCATTGCAAATACTCGGAAGTAAAATACAAAATACACAGAAGATTAAATAATAGCAACGAAGAAAGAACAATGAAAGAGTGACCCTCAAAAGACTAATATGTCAAATGTAGTCTACGTAAAACATGATGAAGAACACAAAGGCTGCTGTGAATACTCTGCCAGGAAGAAGCCTTTACTTCAAAAGAAATATAAAAAGCCAGATTAATGTTTGCAAATGCACACAGGGACAAAGTCCCTAACCTTTGGAG